GGATGTCAAATTAAACCCATTATAGCCACAGCAGCATATAATCAGAAGGATCACATGGAATTTTCAACAAATTGTAGGCTATTGACAAACTGCAAAAATCGCTGTTGAACCCTTTTTTAGTATTCATCTAATTAGCAAATAAGCGCGATTTGGGGTAGAAACCATGAAGGGACTTAGCCCATCCCATAACTTGTATTAGTAATAAGTCCTTCATTACTTATCTAATCTACATAATTCAGTAGGTACCTATCTAAATTTGAAAAGATTATTCTTTGAAGTTAAAAAAGTTAGGTTCATTATTCATGTGTTTAATGGTAAACTACTATGGAATAGATATTGAATCCGCCCACAGAACATAAAAAAGGTTTAATAATAGTATTACTAATTACACATTACAGATACAATTTCAATTAATCAAGATTTTTTGTATACCAAAGTTGTCCAGTAAAGTTGAGTAAGCATTATTTTCTTTAAGGTTGATTGTTTATGGAGTACCTTGCAATATTAGACTAATGACAAAAAACCAATATTTAACTGGTAAAAAAATATACGGCCAGTTMAAAAAATGTCATATTAAAATTATTAAAATTCATGGTTACAAAATGTCAAGATAATGGTATTTTTAAATTCTTAGAAAATAACTAAATTGGATCAATTTGTCTGAAATTGAACTATATCTTGATTTTAAGWGGATGTTTTTGGTCAATTTGACCTGCAACATACTCAATGTTCACAGCAAGCCTAGAGTTATTTTTTAATTATTCGAGAAGATCTGTTTGGAGGTGCTATAGAATTACATTATATTTAAAATATAATTAATTACTAATTCAATTAAGAAATAATTAAAATGTACACACTTGCACAAATTATTAAACAACTAAGTAGTAAGAATACTCTTTACTCAGAATCAGAATTGTATTATTATTGACACTTATTATATATAAATTAAATAATTTYGACACATTACTTTAATAAATATATTTATTTCCATATAGAAAGAATTAATTATAATTTATACTTGATTACCTAATACAATATACAACATAAACTATAATACATTTTTTTACATCAATAAGATTTTTTTGTTGACAAATTAGGTAGAATTGGTTAAACTAGCCATTAAAAGTTCAATTTTATTTAAAAAGTTTTTACCTTCCATTTTGTCCCACCTAACTTTTTTAAACGAACCTCCCAAATTTTCCCATTTTCTTTCTTTCACCAATTGACCYCCAAAGAAGTCTTTTTTTGGAGAATGTGCAATACCCACRCTGACATTGCCTTGTGGTTCACATTTCACAGATATTAACCTGAAGTAAAATGTAAATGATTCATTTTATAAAATAATACGATTATTTTTACAAATATTATCTTTTAATCTTACCTATCTCCTATTGGCGAAGCTAAGAGACAAGAGCTAGCATTTCCCATAGGCTCAACTGGACCTARACCAAGGTGAGAAGAACTAGCTAAAAATTGCCATCCTTGTGTTTTAGCTACAGACTGTACGCCCATTATTTGATGTTGATAAATCTATTACAGATATGATATTACATATAATTAAACACAAACATAAATAGTTATAAATATTTTTGATAAATTTAAAATAGTTAAGATCTATAATTACTTGACAAAAAATGAGATCTCTTAATTCTTGTGGTTCATATGATAAATACATTACTCGGCCATCTCGGCAAATACATTTTAACGATTTTTTCATTACATGAACAACTAACGAAGTTCGACAAATACAGTCAAATCCGTGTGACACAATAGTAACTTTAACACAAGCTTGAGTTGGAGAGTTCAATGAATTCCAATGTGAAATTATAATTGGGTCTTTAACCTATGAGAAGTACACAGGTTATAAATATTCTTAGTAAATATAATAAAATAAAATTACTTCTTTAGCTAGAGTATCAATAACATATTCTGTACGTAGCCTCATAAAAAAATGTTGAGCTTGTTCTATAATTTGTTCTAATAAAGTTTGACTGAAATTTAAAAAAAAAWAATAATAATTTAACTCTTAAATTATATATATATATTTATACTTTTTAGACATTTCTAATAATTCAAAACGATCGGCAGCATTAGGTCCAGCAACTGCACGACGTTTACTTGGACCCAATGGCCCTGAAGAAGGATGWGGAAATGGTTGATGAGTATTTCTGTGATGTACTTCTCTTAAAAGTTGATGCAGAGAGTGTTCTAGTACATGATCATGATCAGTTTTAGATGGTAATATAGTATTAGGGTTACCATTTGTTGAACTATGACATAATCCAATTATTAACTGGATACCAGGAAATACCTATAAAATAATTGAATAGTATGATATACAATTATAATTCTATAAGATAATTTTTTTTTTTTATGTATAATTTTTCATTCACATACTGTAGCTGAAATTTGATTTCCAACAACCATATGTGGTATGGTTGCTTGCAATTGAACTGCTTCTTTGGCAAGCTGATTGAACAATTCTTTACAAAACAATACATTTTGTGCAGCTTCTAATTTTTGTTGCCAATGCATGTCTGGATTAGGAGTAGCTGGAGCTGAACCCAGTAGATTGAATGAAGTGTTAAAAATATTTTCTTGATCTAAAGAATCAAATTTAAAAATATAATTAGTTTTTTAAAAATGCATGAAATCATATTAATACAATAAATAARAAGTGGCTTGGTGAGGCACGGTCGTACACTCAATCTGCGAAAACGCACTGAGCRTACGTACCGGCAGTTGCTAGCTCCCGGATGGGTGACCACCCGGGATTTTCAGCAACATATCCTTGCCATACATACACAAACACGTGTTACAACCCTACCCACTTAAAACCTACAAACAAACCGGTGTTTCCGAATTGCGGACAAAAACCGTAAAAACATGTGAGTTGCGGACAAAATCTAAAAAGGTAACATACAAATTGCGGACACAAATATAAGATACCAACTGCGGACAAATTACCTATTATTATTCTTAAGTCACCCTAATATATATMAATTTATCGAGGCCCTAAATGAAGTACAGACTAGTAGCTATACGAAAATGAATTGTTCTGCAGTGCGAAATTTAAAACGAGCAAAAATAACTATTGAAAAGGAGGCATTTATTAGCAATCAAATTTTGCAATATTCATGTGGTGAAATCTGTAGAATATCATATATACAGGCTGTTTCAAAAAAAGTTTTACCAAAAGATCTATAAATACTATGACGATAATCTATAAGTATTTTATAAACAATTTTTGCTACAAAATTAAAACATTAAATAATTTAACAACATTTTAATAATAACGATTGCTCTTTTACAAGACACAAATATTTTTRACCCYACCTACCAACTTTTTGGTAGCTTGKCCTAAGTCCTSAAAAAGTGGTRAAGGGAAATATTTGTGWCCGCAACTCACCTGATTTGAGAAWTGTGTTKGAGAAAAAAAACTCTGTATGCAACTAGTACTACGATAACGAAACTCGTGTCCGCAATTGTTATGTTAGAATATTGACCTGAATAATTTCGTCCGCAATTAGTATGTGTCCAAACAAACATACAAAAATAACCCCTACCGGACCACACCACACCCAATGGCCCATGTTGCCGCAGGTTCTCCTTACAAAAATAAATAAATAAAAAGTTTTTATGAAAACTTAAAAACCAACTTTGGATTCAGTTAAGATGTTAAATATATTATAAAATTAATATGATAACAGCTAAAAAATATTACCATGTTTGTAATTTGGTATTATTTTTTGGTAAARTAAATATGGTTTGGGATATGATGGTAGGGGAAGGTGGGTAGGTAATTTGGTATATTCTTATAAATTAAATAAATTAATAAGTTGTTATGGCACCGCTCTGTAATAAATCTTAGTTTAATGCATGACAAATATTTAATTATTGATAAAAGAAAATGCATTTAATTACCTTTTTGGCATAATACCATTATGTAAGATACTCCTTGTAGTTCAGTAGGTACAGTCACTCTAAGTGCTGATGGAGATTTGGCGATTGAAACATTCTGACTAGGAGAGGATGATGGGCTACTAGAAGAAATTCCAGTGTTTGATTGAACATCATCTTCTGCTTTTGTTACTTCAAACATACCACTTTGTCCAAATTTCGAACCAGCTGCAGACATAAATATTTAATTTATTTATAATTTTACAAATTTTAATGGCACACAATATTTTTTTTATAATTATGTTCTAAATTAAAATGAAAAATGTTATGAAATATTAATTTTTTAAATGTTCAAATAATGCAAGGCCATCCAAACCAACTAATAGGTCAACTACAGTCAACATTTCTTCCAGRAAACCCTACTCGGTCTTAATCGTAATTGGTCCAGAGACTTTCTCAAAAACTGAACATAAATTATTTAAGATTCATGTAAAGATAGCTATACTGTGAGCCTCCCTTTTCACCACTCTATCACTGTTATTCCACCCTCAAATTTACTCATTGTACAAATAGTATAGATTTTAAATATTCAATAAATGTTATTATAAAAAAATGTTTAAATAGCTCATAATTATAAATATATATTTAAATAATATAAAATTAGTTTTTAATACAATATTAATTTAAATCAATATTATTATCAAGGCAGAGCAAACATCTCACACTATTTAACATACACAATAATTAATATGCAATACACATAAACTCAGTGGTCGGGAGTAGTGCTCTTATTATAGCGATGCTATAATAGCATGCTACTTTATTTGTAGCGTCACTATATTAACCTTATATAGCGAAATACTATAATGCGCTAAAAATGTACAGTTAGCATACCAAAAATTATCACTATTTTGTCACTACCTACAATATTTTTGATGATTATTAAAATATCTATGATGATTTGATTTGTTAATTTATATTATGATAATAATGAGTGTATTAGTGAAGTTTTTGGTTTTAATCCATSTTTTTTAAATTTATATTTGATTGTAAAAAAAAAACCAACTTCTAACTTCTACTCCAACTTAAGTTACTATTTTTACCAAACCAATTTCTAACTTAATTATATTTTAACTTGGTTATTTTTTATATTAAGTAACTTAAATTTAAGTAGTTGAAAAAAGTGACTAACTTGTCTAGCTTAGTCAAGAGATGATATCCTAACCCCTTTCTATATGTGATTTCCCATTGATATGTATGTTAAAATGTAAGATACATTTATCTAAATAATAGCATTAGACATTTAAGTCTAAGCTTTAAGATTAGCCAAAAAATCTAAACCTTTTATGATGGTGATATAATAAATCTACTTCAATATAATTTACTATCAAAATTCATGAGTTATCAGATATCATAATATATTGACTTTTTATTTGGACAGCTAAATATTTGTTAAAAATATTAAATTTTGTAATTAATAATAATTTTTTTTTTTTATGAAAATAAATTAGTACTTTGTGGCATTTTGATTTAAGAGGCCTCAACATTTTCTTGCAAAACGAGATCCGGTTCAAGATCTGACACTAAATGAGTAGAAACCTTAAAATATGATAATACAAAAAGCCGAGTGACTATATAAGGTGTAACAGGACTATTTAACAAATTTCCATTATAAATACTATTATATTTGTCAAATAGTACTGTTACATTCTGTATAATGGTAACACAATATTTTTATATGATGATACTATTTTTCATATCAAACAATATMCTATAAGGGGTTAAATTCTCTTTATTTTTTTATTATAATACATGTTAATTTACTTTTTTTATATAAATAATTAACTAAATTTAATTATTTTCCTATTTCGACAGTATTAACCAACAATTTTATGCCCGAAAATTTTTTAATTGCCCTGTACCACACTWCCCTTAATGATGGCCCTGATCAACGGTAACTACATATTTACTTTTATTACAATTATAAGGAATTAAATTGAATTAAATTACCTGTTTTATAACTTAGGTCACCAATAATGGCCGTAGAAACTTTTTTTAACCTCCAATTTTGTCGTAATCTTAATAACTCAATATGAAAGTCAGGAGTAGTTCTGTTTCTTATGAATTCATTCTGACTACTTCTTAAACGGTCTACAGCTGACATTATTATATTTGATGCACTAGCTAATGCCTAATTTCAAAATAAAATAACATTAATAAAATAATTAAAAGTTATTATTAAACTAGCATCTTTTATTGAGTACTGTATATTTGTAATGAATTTATGTATAATTTAGAGGTGAGTTTATATGAAAAGTCAAAAAAATCAACTGTATATTTTTTCTACAGTTAAAAATCTATATAATCTTTAGTGGCCAATGATTAAATCTAACTTAACTAGAAATATCATCAAAATCTATAATGAATATTCATAATGTTGATTAAATCATTGAACAGCATATTTAGTTTTGTTATTTTCTTTTTAACATAAGTAAGTAATTTAACTGTTTCAAAATAAATATTATAAAGGAATTCTTGTCATATACAATTTATGATTAAAATGAGTTTCAATAAATTTAAGCACATGCCACTGATGAAAACAACAACAAATTGGAAATGGTCGAAGGTTTCATAAATATAATATTAAAGAAAATCATCTAATATATATTGTCAATAGATAATCATCCAAGTATATAAACTATATATAGTATAAACTGCCTTGATTTTAATTTTATTTACAACTTACAGTGGTACTAACAGACATTTTATTTTTTAAATAGTAGCAGACATTGATCGGTTACCACTATTGACACTATAAACAATAAGTTGAGGATAGAAGAGTGCATACAAGAATATTATTATTGTATTAATACATCTCAAGTTTGAATTATGAATTTATTTATGTGGGGTGGTTAAATTTGAAAAAAAAAAAATATATAAATAAGTTAGATTAATATAGATAGCTGTATATTATTGTAGACAAACTTATTATGTATAATATATCAATGTTRATATAAATTAAATATATTTAAGGGAAATACAACAATTAAAATGGTTTGGATTAACCATAAAAATTTGTATATATCTTAATAATATTAATAATAATAAAAGTTTTAAATTTTCACACCTTTTTGCGGAGATAAATTTGAGCCATTGGTTTGGTTTCGATTGATTCAGTAGGGATTGGATCAAGTATCATATATCGTTTTTCTTTTGTAACAGCTAACACATCTGATATAACACAAATCTCTGTTGCTGCTCTCCTTTAGTAAAAATATTAACAAATTAATAAAGTAAATTGTATGAATAATCTTAATGTTATGCTTACTTTAGTTTAGAAACTACTGATTCAATCCATCCAGATACAGGGACATTAGGAGATGGCTCTTTGGATTCTTCTTCACTTTTGGTCTCTACTTCTTGTTGTTTAGTGTCCTCATCAACCTTACTAAAGTCAATTCTCTGTGCAAGCTTTGACAAATTATCAGACATAGACAATGCCCTTTTAAAAAAATAACCAATAAAACAATTAAATTCGTTTTGAACAAGTTTTCAAAATTTATAATTTGAAATTGAACATGCTTACGGTTGATAGATTTCCTGACCATCATATGAAATTTCCTGAATTATATTTTCGGCTTGAGTTTCAATACTTATATTTACACTTGTAGAATACGCCATGATAAATAATTTACGAATATAAATTTAAATTATTAAATAACTAAATTACTAATTAAACTTTAAAAAAATGAATTATAAAAGTTTCAAATATTGTCATTTCATTTAAGATGAAAATTATAAATAAATGTTTTCACCGGCTTCACCAAGCATACTTAATTTCATTCATCGCTMATTATGGATGAACATAAACATGAAGTAACAACAAGCAAGTACCAACTAGATTACCGTCGTATACTCGTATCGTAATATTCGTAATTCGTAATCGTAAGTTTGATTCGAGATTCAGTTTTGAGTACCAAAATGACGACCGATGACTTGGTCGTGAGTAGTGAGTGAAAGGGTGACCATATCGTAAAATGGTAAATACACCGAAAATTAACATTTTTCCTCTGTTATCATTAACACTGATTTCTCACTGATAGTGCGCTACCGGTGGGTTTATTTGGCACATTTAAGTATTTCACATATTTTTACTAGCATCGAGATACAGCATACATCTCGATGACTCATTAATTATAGCTGAAAAATGTCTGTTCTAAAGTAATACGATAAACCGTACTAGTATATTATGATAATTATGTGCTATGTAGGAATTAAAAATATTAAATTTTAAAACGTGTTTAAGTACAATGATCAACACATTTTGGAATCAAAATTAATCAATTAATCTAGGTACTCTTTAGCTTTAAATCTTCGAACCTAAGACATCAAGCTTGTGACCCTGAAAGTGAAACTTATAACAAACTGTTTACTGTTAAAAAAGTCAGAAGCTAGTTATTTTTTTTACTAATGTTTATCAATTTAACAAACTTAATATATTATGTACTTTATTTTGGGTAGATCTGCAAGCTTCTAAAATATTAAGTAACCATATGGATCGTTATTGTTAAATCTTTATAATGAATACATTTTTTTTTTTACTTATAGAAATATATTTTTATTTAGTTACATGATCATTTTAAGGCATACACTTGCTAATGGACTTTATTTTACAATGTTAATTATCTTAACAATTTTAATATTACAAAGTACTTCAAAAAAAAAAGAGGCCAACAACATTTCAATTCATTAGAAATTTTTTAAGAATACCTATGCAGTAATATTTTTGCAGAAGTTTATTTTGGGATGTGATCTTTTGGATAAAACTCAGGTTTCTTTGCTGTATATCATGTGATTTATCAGTAATTACTAGGACTTAAATATAATGTTGGTTCCCAAACTTCAAAATGTATTTGACTGATATTTTCAATATACCATGTAATTCAGTGTTTATCAGTTGATCAATAAACAGTAATTTAATGTAKATATGCCCATATTTTGTAGCTTAAATGTTAGAGCAAAATGTATGTTCTATTCCTAAATCAAAAAGCAAAAAAAAAAAATTAAGAAATATTCATTAGTAGCATACAAAAATGTTGTAGTCATCCCGTCTACAAATTGATACATGATGAACATGATAATAATATAATAAGGACTTAAGAACATTAAAAAAAAAAATTAACATTTGTTAAACATTTTTAATCATACCAATAAATACAATGTTATTTAATTTGAATAGTAGTATAATTATTAAATTAATGATGAGTAACTAAAAATATAAAATATATTAATAGGGGGTAGGACTATTAAATAGTATATACCTAAATAAAAATGTAATGAAAAAAATAAAATAAATAATTATTATACACATAAAATTTAAAAAAAAATATTATTTATATATTGAATTCATTATTAATTAACTTTAATAAATATATATTAGATCAAATTAACATTATTACTGTTTTTTTAAAAATATTAAGTTTTATGATTTATAAAGTGTGACTTAAATTATGTATGTAGTCGTAGTGTAAAGACCTACAACATAAATTCAATCAACAAAAAATAATAATAATAAGATTATATTAACTTTAGAAGTCAATAATATGTAAACAATATTTCAGAAACAGTATAATTCAAATAACTTTATAATTATTTTTAATAACTTGAACATAGTACGTTTAAAAGTAACATGAAACTGTGTTCAACTTAATAATTATTCAAAAATTATAAGTCTCGATCATAATAATAAGCCATTAAAATGTAATGGGGAGGAGAACTTAAAATTTTTTTTGTAAAAACAAACATGTTATTATTTAAAGAAAAAAATGTAATAAGAATTACTTAAGGGAACCATAATTTAAATCAATGATAAACGATTTGATAACATCATAAATTCATAACATATTAAATAGATGAATCAATAATAACAAAATGTTGAATGATTAGGCCACATTTGATTTAATTTAGACCCAATAATTTTCTAGTGAAATAAAAGTAAGTCCAGTATGTTCATAAAAAATATTGGAAGATCTATTTTAATACAATTATTACTAATTACTAGTTGGATTATTGGGATCTTTTGCATCAGACTTGGTATGTCGTTTCTGTAAAGCAGCAGTTAAGTCTTGTCTCAATGCTTCTTTATTTTCATCGTCAGCATTTAATGGCACTACACTACGTAAGCCATTCATTATATCACAAGTTTTTCCAAAGTATACTTCGTTCAGAGTATTACGCATTTTATTCTCCATATCCTCAACCATACGTCCAATATTAGCTATATGTGGTGACGAATCTGACACTGGACTGTCCATTTCTGTTTGTCTGGTCAAACTGCCTGCCAGGCTCATACTACCCGACACAGCTTTATTAGTCTGCAACCACAACATAACTGTTGATGTGAGTTTATAATGTGCATTACGACCAGTATTTTTTTCTTGGACTTCAACTACATGTATAGAATCCCAAGTACCACGAACTTTCTTAGATCCATCTCCTACCTTTTTGATCAATATAACACCTAAAAATATTAATTCAAAAAAAGTTATTTATAAATTTTATTGTTTTTATAAGAAAACTTAAAATTATGGTAAGTTGTAATAGGTATTGGGCTWTTTTTTTTTTTTTTTTTTTTAATTTTAATTAAATAATATTCAGATAGTAAGAGAGTATAGTAAATTATAAATTAATCATTTTTATTTTTTAATCTGTCAAAAACTGTTTCTACAAAAAGGGAAAAAAATAAGTCAATAAAACAATTAAAATTTCAAAAAAATTTAATCTATTTTAAATTTAATTTATTGAAGTTCAAAAAATCAATAAACTTAGAACGTTATAAGAATACAAATATTTTAAGATATAATTTTTATAAAATTATTATTGTTGTTTTGTTACAACTTGAAACCACATAAATAAAAATGTTTAAAAACTTATTTTTAGAACAATAAGTGTTCATTGAAAAAACAATAATTTGGTAATATGTACACATTATGTAGTTTGTACTTAAATCACTATTATTAATAATAATTACAAGATTGGGTACTATTTATATAAAATTTATAATATTGTAAAGATAATAATAAATTGTTATTACCAGCAAAACCCTGGTCTAAATCCCACAGATAAACAGAAGATACACCACCTTCAAAATACATTTCTCTATATTGATCAAAAGCCATATTAGCGTCTATTTCCAGCTTGCGCAACTTTTCAGTTGGGACAGCACCATCGTCCAGCGGTGGAAAATATGTATTACTCCAAGGTGATCTAGAACGGTGATGGTAGAGCAAAATGATTAATTTATGTCGTTCAAAATATATCATTTATATTATCAATMAAMTTACCTGTATGAATCCCCGTCTCTGTTATAATCACAAAGTAAAAAATCTTTGCCAACTTGCTTGTCCCGTATGATTTTTAGTGGCTGATCAACAGAAGACAACAGATCTTCGCACAAACTTGGAACTAGGTCGATGAGATCACTCAAGTGCTTTTCAATTTTTTGAGGCGGTAAACGCCGCATAAGATCCAGTGCACAATCCATTTGAATGTCAGACTAATAAAGGAAAATAATCGAATTTCAACGTCAAATAACCGTTATAATATATTATATAATAATATTATGTTAGATGTGTACCAAAATGATTGTAAAAGTAAATAGACGAGACGTTAACACTTACCATTTTAGGGCTGCGATCACAAACACACGAGAAACAGGTAATACTATAGGACAAACAACCAACCAAAACCGATTGCCAGACGGCAACGAAACTTATACTTATAAGTAATGAATGAAGATGAATATTTATAAATTATAATAATTGATAGGTGCCAATAAAGTATACATTTTTAATAACACAAAATTCTTCGCTTATCATTGGTGTTAATTATCATAGCCACATATAAATATAACCATGGTTCATGATGGTWACTACGCTACTACCTAGTTCATATGATGAATATAGGTAGCGCTAGAATCACTTTTTCGGCAATGGGCCAATGAACATTCCCGGGAACAAATAATATTCCCCTTCCCCAGCCGGCAGCCTCTCGAAGCCCGGAGTTTCTTTGATTTAAATTTTAAACATTTAACATTCAGACTGAGTATAAATGATATAAGTATATGTATAAACTATAAATTTATAATATTATAATATTAAAGAAATTATTAAAATAATAAAATCCAATCTGTATGCTAGAACTTAAATTCAAGTGTATAGCTAACTTAATTCAATTTTATGAATACAAATTAAATTCATTTTGTCACTACATCAAAATTTAAAATGGTACTCTACTATTCTATCTAAAATTACTCTGTAACAATGATCTCAACTTATTTTGTTTTATTTTTCCGTATGTTTTTATGAATAATAGGTGGAGCTATTGATTGTTGTTTAAGAGAGTTTATTTTTTTTATGAATTTTCAGCCATCGGACTGACAATAGGGGCAAGCTGCATCAGGCGCACTTACTTAGTACTTAGTAGGCATTGGAGGGATATAAATATAATATAAAAATAACTTATCACAGCTTATACGACTAAATTTATTACAACATTACTTTTAATATTTATACATGTATATTAATTATTTATTTATATTAAGTATAACAGAGAACAATTCTTTGGTACCTACCATATTTTATTAAATATAATTATTTTTAAATTAAGTAGAACTAAGCTCAAGAACTTAGTTCATTAATATTTAATGGTATGAACAAATCAAAAATGAGAACAAAATTACTTTTAACTATTACAATTTAAAAATCTTTTTTTATGTTTCTTAAGATCGCTGTTTGTAAGGAATGATTGCTTACAATTTTCACATAAGTATGGTCTCTCACCAGTATGAATTCGATAGTGTACATCCAATCCATATTTTTTTGCAAATGACTTCAAACACACATTACACTGATATGGTTTTTCACCGGTATGAATCCTACGGTGATTAATCAATGTAAATGATTGCTTGAACAGTTTTTTACAAACATCACACTCTAAAACTTTTTTATCACTATGTATTTTTTCATGTGAATTTAAGTTTGATTTTTTTGAAAACGTTAGGCCACAAAATGTGCATTTGTAAGATTTTTCCCCAGTATGTGATTTCAAGTGATGATCCAAAGATGTTTTTTGAGTAAATAAGGTTCTACAAATCATGCATTCAAATTGTCTATCATTTGTATGTTGAGTGTTGTGCCTTAATAATAAAGAATGAAACTTAAATGTCTTAGAACAAACAGAACACTTAAAATTTTTCTGTGCATTTTTTTGCAGTTCAATGGATTTAGTATTGTTAGCAACTGGTTTGCTCTCTTCATTCAAATTCAATTTTTTTACCTTAAGCGCCTCCTGGAAAATATTCAAATTAAGAACTCAATATTCCAATAAATTATTCATATAAGTACGCTTTAATTTTAACATATCTAAGACTAAAATATAACATAGGTACTAGCTGACCCTGCAAACTTTGTACCGCCAACAGTCTATTCGGGAAACCAGGTCAGCTAGCAAGAAAAAAGAAAGTTGATAAGTCAACAATTACATTATGTCAAAAAATAACAATTATAAAACACTTACAATTTTTTTAAAAGTCACTGAAAAGTTACAATTTCAGATTTCTTATTATGATACCTACTTATTACATTTTATTTTATTTGTATTTATTCTAAACCAAGATTCATTTTTATTGTAGTCAGTGGCGAAGCCAGAAATCTCCGAAGGGAGGGGCCCACCAGATATAACACCAAAAGCATGCATTTTAGAATATTATATTTAATATTTTATTAAAAAATCACAATTTAAGTAGGTATATTAAAAAATGTACAAATTAAGTACTGTCCATTATTTTGACCAGTCTTGTAGTTGCATTCTCCTGGCAGTTTTTTATGAAAACTTGTACTATTTTCTACGCAGTTACATTTTTTTCCTTATTCATATGTTATTGACCAGCTACACGATTACACTAGGATCACACTACGTTTTTAACGGCAATTAAACAGCAACTGAGAAACGTGTGTGGTATTGACGTATTTTCCGGACGCTTAAAGAGAAATGGCCTAGTCTAGAGACGATAATGCATTATCGATTTTATCTTTTGCTATTTATATTTTACTCAAAATCTCAAAACACTGCGTATTTACAATTTACTATTTTTATTTTCGTTTTTTTTTCAATTCATTATTTAATTATTATATAGTATAATATTATAATAAGAGTACTGAGTAATATTGAGTTATACTATCATATATACTACACGGACAAAGGGAGGGGCCAGGGCCCCTCCCTAAATACGCCACTGACTGTAGTACTTTATGGTACACAGTAAGAACTAAGAACCATCCTCGTAAATTAAATTTGAGCTTAGCAACACATTCAGTGATTCATTTTTCTATAATAGAATTATTGTCTTAGTTGAAATAATATAGGTATTAACACTACAAACCTCATTAGATTTTTTCTTTTTTTTCGTTCTTGTTTCCCCAAATATTTTCTTTGATCTACAAAACAGAAACATATAATATTCAATATTCACTATAAAGAMGGGCATTGAAAAAACCAAATATATCCCCTAAAATGTAAAAATTCAATAATAAATATACATCACACTATTATTAGATACTTATTAGGAATTATATTATGATGGTGGCGTGGTGCCCGATATCATATCATTAATTAGAAGAGATTTTATACACATATTATACTGAAATAAAATGGAATGGTCTGGGCTTTTAGAATTGTATTTAGAATGGTCACGAGCTTAAAAAGTTAAGTCAGTGTAATTTTCATTAAATATTATCATAATTCATAATACAATTTAAATTCTGAAATCCAGAATTATTGTGTATTAAACTTTAAATTTGTGTTTAATCACTGCACTATAAATTTAAACATAAATGACCTACCTATAATACAAGTAATTGGTTTTATAAAAATAAATTATTGTACTATATACAAAACGTTATAATTATATTATACATGATTGTAAAATTATGATTATTTTTAAAACACATTTTTTGTATAAATTATAATCATTATTATAGGGTTTAAGGACATGCCTACACAGTTATTAGTCTTATACATTTTAATAAATATAATATATTATTTTTTTTAAAGACTCATTTATGATGAAACAAATACAAAGACATTACCTACATACATTTTGCATTCAGAATACAACCAATATAGGACTTAAATTATTAACTTGTGACCATTCATACAAGTTAAAAATCTACCCCAGTATGAAAAACTCTATTGTAATATATTGTTTAAKTAATGGTAGTACAAAATAAAATATTTTTTTTAAAATATTAAACATATTTACTCCACGTTAGTGTACACAGGTTGAATATATTTTAATACTTACTCTGATGAATGATCAGCATCATTAAAAGTTGTAGAAGTTATGGTATTTATATCTAAAAAATAAAAAAATTAAATTCAGTCAGACATTTTACATTAAAAAAAAATAGCTTAATATTTCATAACAAAAATAGTTTCGTACACATATATACTTATTGTATTTCGAAAATAATGAAACATAGCTTCAATCAAAAACAATTTTATTCAATGTAGGTATTAATATCAGTAAAGTCGCAAAATATTTAAATATGACTTTAACAGTTTAACCTAAGGAAATACCAATATTCCTGAAGGTATGAAGGATTACAATAGATTCTTAAGCAGTATTCAGTTAAGCCTGAAACAATCACTATAAATTATACTAACATGAAAAATCTAACTGGTAAAAATAGACAAAGTTTAAGAATATWTAACAAAAAAAATAAGAGCCTATCAAAGGTAGTAATATCAAAATTGTAGTCAAGTGTTTTATTACATTAACCCATTAGTCCATTTCATTAACCTCACTTAGCTCTTACTTTCACTTACTAAAATACTCTTTTATTTTTATTGCTTAACATAATATAATTGCCAAGTTTTGCCCCGATATAAATAAGAGTCTCAGGGTGCATAGCAATCACCAGTAGCTTGGTTGGTCAATATTGACACTCCTGAATATATAAGTATAATAGTATAATAATAATTAATACCAATTATACAAAACTAAAACAATAAGTAATATAATAATATGTACTTAATAATTTTAATATTAAAAAATTTACCTTTAATTGCTTTTTTTTTCTTACGTATCCTAATTTCTTTCATGATCATTGTTGCAATTTCTTCTTTAATGGCATCCATTTCTTCTTATTTTACTGGTATCAATAAACTAAATCGATATTCGATACAAAATAATTTGCGTTTATAAATCTGTAATCGACATCATTATTTAACTACTATTTCTTACCAAYAACCTAATGAGAATCGGCTCATTAATATAGTACGTGTTCCATAGCACATAACAATAGTTCGTATTGTATGGGACGTGGATATTGCCGTATTGGGTCGTATTTTATTCATTTATTCATTATTGTACACTTGTGTCTTGTATCACAAATTCACAACCACAAGTACCTATAATATAATAATAAACCTTATTTAAAAATTATATTTTAACTGTCTATGGTTAAACCACATTCAATATTACCAAAAATTAAGATACTAATTTTAGATAATTCATGAATTTTAACCATAGAGTTATAATATTGTTCTATGGTTATATATTACCAAAGAACAAAATATTACTATATGATTTTAAATTTTTAACCAGTTAGTACCTATAGATGTATTATATAGATAATAAACTAGATTGATAAATTACTGTGATAATAAAGCGAAGTCGGAGATTTATCAGTCTACTCAGTCTAGTCTACTATCTTTAAAAAAGATTATTAAATTAAATATAATATATTATTATTATTATAAAAATATAAAATACCAACTTTTCCATAGATATAATTTTTTAATATGTACTTTTAAAATTCATAATACCAGTTCCATGCTGTACATTACTGCATTAGGTAGTATAATAGTTGTGAGTAATAGAAGGTGACATTTTTCCGTCAATATAATAAATCCATTTGTTCAGTCTAATATATGGGATATATACTATGTATCTATATATATATGTGATACATCATAATATAATATGTTATAATAAATAATTATGAATATGAACTAATATAATATAATTGAAACAATATTATTTAAGTATTATATAAATCTATAACACAGTGTACTCTGAGTTATTAAAGTTTAACTGTCCTGTTTAAAAAATAGGTCGGCTACCGGCTTCAAACCTCCCCATTACCGATAAGAGCAATCAAGTATATTATCTATAGGCCTATAGCCGTGGTATACAATATTCTGTAGTATTTTTATTTTCGTTTATTTTATTTTCTGGGATATTTAATATTATGTTTTAGCTGTTTCAAATTCTGTAGTATAATTTTTTGCAATTATATATTGTGTACCTATATTATATTCTTTGACGTTGACGCAAGACTGATAACAGATAAAAAATAAAAACATTCAATAATGTTGATTGTGTGTATTTTGTATACCGTTTGAACGTCATGCGATAAGCCGATAACGTGTGTTAGGTTTATTTATTTATGTCCGCACAATTACAATTCACATTAAACAAAATATAAAATCAAAAAACAATTCCTTTGTAGACTTGGGCAGTTGAAAAGTGTCGATTTATGCGGTTTGTCTGGATTCTCTGAAAAATGGACAAGAGTAAAAACTCGTCGGCTAGTCCAACACCAGTGTCAAAGTCAGAGAAAAAGGAACCACTCTCGCTTGAAGAACTTTTGGCCAAGAAAAAAGCCGAAGAGTTGGCCAGGAGCAAGGTAAATGCACTTTCGTTTTGGTCGGTTGGCTTTGTTTGCAGGGTGGCTTATGCAAGTCTTTTGACTTATTTTTCAGCCGGTATTTTTGACAAAAGAACAGCGAGCCGCCGAAGCCCTACGGAAGAGACAAGAGGAAAGCGAATTGGTGAAAAAGAAGCAAGAGGAGGAACGCAAGAAACGTTTAGAGTTCTTGCACCAGGCGGATGGTGGGCATGGAAGTAACAATCACAGAGATGATCGGTAAAAACTACCTTCCCATYATTTAGTTGGACATAGTTTGATGACACATTCATTTTTTTTTCAGAGATCGTGACAGAGACCACCATCGAGACAGAGATCGAGATCGTGAACGTGAAAGGGAAAAAGARCACGACCGACGAGAAAGAGAACGTAAGAGAGATAAAAAAGAAGAGCCTGAAGACAAGGAACAATCTAAAGATAAGGAAAAAGAACAGGAAGCTATACGGGAGCGTTATTTAGGTTTGACTAAGAAAAAAAGACGTGTTCGTCGGTTAAACGATAGAAAATTTGTTTTTGACTGGGATGCATCTGAAGATACGTCAATTGATTATAATGCTCTATACAAAGAGCGTCATCAAGTACAGTTTTTTGGTCGTGGTAATGTAGCAGGTATTGATATTAAAGCACAAAAAAAAGATCAATCTAAATTTTATGGCGAGCTTATGGAAAAACGTAGGACTGAAGCCGAGAAGGAGCAAGAAAAAGTAAGGCTAAAAAAGGTAAAACGAAAAGAAGATAAACAGAAATGGGATGACCGACACTGGTCAGAGAAAGAATTGGACGAAATGACAGAGAGAGATTGGAGAATATTTAGAGAGGACTATAATATAACTATTAAAGGTAATTTTAGAAACAAATCCAGTTCTCAATTTCATTTGAAAGTAATTCCCAAGTAATGATTAATTTTATATTCAAGGGGGTAGAATACCTGAACCTATTCGTAAATGGAAGGAGTCTACAATTAAAAGCGAAATCATGGACATCATCGAAAAAGTCGGATACAAGGATCCTACACCTATTCAGCGGCAAGCTATTCCTATTGGTTTTCAAGTAAATAGTTTAATTTTAAATTTATATTGTATTACATTTCCTATTATTTATAGAATCGTGACATTATTGGTGTTGCTGAAACTGGTTCTGGTAAAACTTTGGCTTACCTCATACCACTTATTGAATGGATTCAGTCTTTACCTAAAATGGAACGAATGGAAGATGTTGATCAAGTAATGATAATTATTATATGAAWTTATTTAAATGTATTCAAAGAATATTGAACAAATCGCACTTTAAACTATTATTTTAGGGTCCTTATTCAATTATTTTGGCACCAACTCGTGAGTTGGCTCAACAGATAGAAGAAGAAACTTTAAAATTYGGACAACCATTGGGTATTAGAACAGTAGTAGTAGTTGGAGGTTTGTCTAGAGAAGAACAAGGATTTAGATTACGATTAGGATGTGAAGTAATTACTAATTAAGAATTAACATATTACAATACAATTCGATAYATTCTTACTACTTTTATCTTATTTTTACGTTGTTCTGTAGATCGTAATTGCAACACCTGGTCGTTTGATTGATGTTCTGGAAAATAGATATTTAGTTTTGAACCAATGCACATATATCGTGTTAGATGAAGCAGACAGGATGATAGACATGGGTTTTGAACCAGATGTACAAAAGATTTTAGAGTACATGCCGGTAACAAATTTGAAACCAGATAACGAGGATGCTGAAGACGAGTCCAAATTATTAGCAAATTATTATTCAAAAAAAAAATATAGACAGGTATAATTAAGTTTAATAAATGAAAAACATTGATGACTTATAACTTTGTTGACTTTATTAGACTGTGATGTTTACGGCTACCATGCCTCCGGCTGTAGAACGTTTGGCCAGAACATATTTACGTCGTCCTGCTGTAGTTTACATTGGATCCATTGGTAAACCTGTAGAACGTACGGAACAAATAGTTCACATGATGAGTGAAAATGATAAACGTAAAAGACTTGTTGAAATTCTCAGTCGTAAAGTTGATCCTCCAATTATTATATTTGTCAACCAAAAGAAAGGTGCTGATGTGTTGGCTAAGGGTCTGGAGAAACTTGGGGTAAATATGATGTTTAATTATAAATTTACATTTGTGAATACTATGGCTCAAAAATTAAATAGATTATATTAATTCTGTTTTAGTATAATGCATGTACACTTCATGGTGGTAAAGGACAAGAACAGAGAGAGTTTGCTCTGGCAAGTCTCAAAGGTGGCCAAAAAGATATTTTGGTTGCAACTGACGTGGTTGGTCGTGGTATTGATATCAAAGATGTGTCTATGGTCATAAATTACGACATGGCTAAAACTATTGAAGGTAATTTAATTGGTCATCTAATATGCTTTAAAAAAAATGTATGGCTAACCAAAGAAAACAACTAACATCATAATTATTGGATTTTACTTTTTTTTTTCTCTAGATTATACTCATCGTATTGGAAGAACAGGTCGTGCTGGAAAGACTGGAGTGGCAATTTCGTTTTTGACAAAAGATGATTCACCATTGTTCTATGATCTCAAACAAGTCATACAAGCTAGTCCAGTATCAACTTGTCCTCCAGAGTTGGCAAATCATCCAGAAGCTCAGCATAAACCTGGCACTGTAATGATGCCCAAAAAGAGGCGAGAAGAGAAAATCTTTGCTTAATTTTAATACCATTTTAAAAAAAATTCTTATAATTTAAATATAGGTACTCAAATTATAAAAAAATATTTTATTTATTAAAAATTTATTTTTCATCCCATTTATTTGTAAGAATACCAATTTTTGGATTAGCTAATCTATTCTCGTCTTGATATAATTATATCACATATGATTATCTTGTATTTTTTACTGAAATACAAGATATGATTAATTGTATTAAGTATCAAGAAATTATTTTATAAAGAAAATCATTGAACTTTTTTAAACAAAATAATTTTACTCACATAATGTAAACCTTTGCACCCCAGCCGGAAATAGTATCACRATTGCATGCACTAACCAAAGCTTGCGATATAGTTTCAAATAGTTGTTCTTCTTCCATATCGGGCTCCTAAAGAGCTTCACAAAGACCGTATAATTGATTTGAACTAGTACTTCTCACCACAAAGTTATAGGAATTTGGAGTTATTTACAAAACCTATTAAATTCATATCACACATTGCCATATCCGCTAAGATATATGATCAATAACATTTGGAAGAAGGTACTACCGATACCCCCAAGTTGATGACATCCACCGAGCTGAAAACTGCTAGCTGATGTGGCGGAATCAACTTGAGATCCTATACTCCTATTTAAGACCTGCACCTTTGAGGGTACTAATGTTGGTACAGGTGGTGTGGTCTTGAGGTGACCATTCTTATGATTCCTTTGATAGGTGTTCAAAAAATTCTTTGATGAAGGACAACCTTTATAGTTAGCGGTATGTGCGCCAGAACATAACACACATTTCGCTGGCAGTTCCGAAGATTTGACACAGTCCATGATGTTATGGTTGTTGCCGCATTTGACACAACGTGATGATTCACTAAAGTAAGAGTGTGACCGTATCGTTGACGTTGTTTGCATCAGTGGCGTGCCCAAGGGGAGGTTAGGGGTTAATCCCCCCCCCATTGGCTTTTTTTTTGTTAACTTCAACTTATTAGATATTACCATAGACATATATAAACATTTATAWATGGATATGGATATTACTTTTAAAATTATCAGTAATAAGTTATTGCTTATAAATTATTTCCCATTGGCTATTGCCTATTATAAACATTCACTATACGGATTATACTGATTAATAATCATTAATTAATAATCAGTGATTATAGATCAGCGATTATGTATTCATGTTCATGAGCAATAAATCTTCTAAGTAATAATTAATAATTAATTATGTTTATGGTAAGATATAAGATAGAATGATGGATCATGCTTATCACGTAGACTAAAAGTATAAATATAAATTTTCGTTTGGAATAACGAATAACTAAGTTGTTTTTAAGAATTATTTTTCTTTTGTATATTAATTATTTTAATAAAGATTATAAATGTTTTTAGTTTAATGTTATCATTTTATTTCAACAATAGTGTATAGTGTGTGGCTATTTAAATTAATTCTAATTGTAGAATGATACTCAATATGCATGAATGTACATAATATTATGTTTAGCAATTTTTGTGTTTGGATAACCATGATTAATTTAAATGTACCTACTTTTACTAAAAAATTTATAACATATATCCCTCCCCATTGAAATTTCCTGGGCACGCCACTGGTTTGCATTGAGGAGTGTAACGGGATTGATGCGGTTTTTCGACAACTATTTTGGAGTTAAGGTGGTAGGATAATTGGAAGATGCTCCTGTTAAAATCTATTGCTTCTAGGACAACGGTGAATAGTGGTAGAGCCGGTTTGCTAATTCGGCGGCGGACGTTTAGCACACTTATGATTGAGAAGCCCWAATCCGAGAGGGCCTTCTCTATATCTTCAACAGGAATAGTATGATGCAAATTGCGGACAAACACTTTGAAAGGGCGGATATGACGGGGGTGCCCACGTATGGCATTCTAAATCCGAGTCGTWGCAGTAATCGACAAGCTTACAGTAACCATCAAAATTACAAGGTTTGATAATTATAGAGRAACCCTTGGCAGTAGCCGTAAAGCCATCGGCACTTACCAGAGATATAAAGTCTGCTTTCAACGAGGAGTAGTTAGTAACGTTACTTATGACAATTGGCGGTGCTGGCATGGTCGTAACACCTTGACTTTTTCATCACCGTGGTGTTTTACTGGTGTCGTACTAGGTTTATTATGCTGAGCCTAGGGGGAAAGGGACAATTTTGTGGGCCGAAAGCCAGTTTTTCAGGGTGGTTAGAGGMCCCCGTGTATGTAAAATAACTACGATAATTGACGGCGAATAAACGATACGGGACCGGGTGGCAGTATTGTGCTAAACATTTCCCACCCGTTCCATCTTTTTGAACGGAAAAAAAAAAAAAAAGGTGGAAAGGGACATTTGTCACTGGGTGCCATACCTTGGTAAAATCAAGAGACATTTCGAGCTTGAAAATCTACTGTTGGTGATTCYTCAACTTATATTAGTGCCCCTAAGCTCCAAAAACCTTTACACAGGCGCACAGRCCCTGTGTAGACCGTCTAATTAATGTATCCAATTAATTAGATAGGTATTATAGATCAAATAAATCATATTAATGATACTTTTGCCAATTTTAAAAATATACAACTTGAATTTGTATTGTAAAATTGTTGTTTTCTTTTTGTTACCTATTAAATTTTGTAAAACTTTAACTTGCTCCCCCCCCCCACCAAGGCTAACTGCTAATTGCTTACTATTTAATATTAGTGATAATGATTATAATTTTAAGAGAGACCCGTCAAGTCTCCGCTGCACTACATGCAATTACAAATAGGTACTTAAATTTATTGACTACCTATTGTCTATAATCTAGCTATAGTCTATGCATTGTGTTTACCCTATAGATTTTATAATACAATTGATTGAAGTTGTACTAGTAAGTAGTAAGTAGTATATAAAATCCGTATATTACCGTAATTTGTTCGTAAGTTATATTTATAATAAAATTACTAGACATTTCTATTCGAAACTCAATAACAACATTATATTTTTTAGCTAATCCCATGATTTCTTACAATATGTCTTAAAAAAAAAAAGGAATTTAGGGTATGATCTGATCAGACTGACCACCACAATACCACATGGYACATATTATATTAGATAATGAAAGATACTATGCCAATAAGTAGTGTAACAAAAAAGCGTCTTACAGTTTACGACTTCTTAGTGACCGCAATCAGCATAAATACATGGTATTTTATGCAAAAAAATATAAATATTATTKCATTGCTACAATACATACAGTCCTTAAATGTCAATAAAATCTTAATTTTTGAACATACAAATGGAATGATAATATTTTGAAATATAGGTATTATTATTTACAAAAAAATGAATTATTCTAATCGTTATTTGTTGATAATAAATAAAATAAATTGCATTTGAGTAAAACTTCTTAAAAATTATCTTTATATGATAAACTATTATTTAATAAATAACAACGATATTGAACTAAGTACCAGCCTATATTATAGTATAGCTTTATTTAATAATTAAAAAAWWTTTTTTWAATTTTAAGATATATTCTGAAATCTGATTTTTTTAACTCGTGGTTTCCAGTATGACGGATACAATATTATAAGACATTGTTATGATCTGAAACAGAATTTAATTTAGTCTTTGTGATTTTCAATTAGCATAGACGCATATAGTTTGTAATTAGCTATATAAAAAAAACTAAATTAATACGTTAGCGAATAATTGTAAGTTAACGATTTTTTTCGGTGAAGCTTTTATCACTAAATCATTGGCATTATTCATCTGCATCGTTGATAATAATAACTTTTTAAATTGTACATCCATTTTTGTCCAATCACAAGAATATATTCCAGTGTTAACGGATCGCATCTGCAAAAAAATACTTGTAATTATCAAACCAAGTTGGAGTCTATAATGAGTATTAATGATTTACTTTAATATTCATACTGTCAAATAAATAACAATATAAATATAAGTGTAAGCACATGTAGAAAGTTGATGACGCGAGCTTGATGATTGTAAGAACTGTATGCGATTCCTTTGACGAGCAAACCTTTTTAAAAAGTTTATTCATATTAAAATTAATAAATAAATTCATGTGTTATACCTACACGGTGAATCTTTTCAATTACTAACTCGTTATTTTTAATGTACTAACTTGACAACTATAATTTTTTTAAATTTTATACCTATTATTCACCCGTAGTTATATATATATTTGATGTTTGTCTGTTGAGATTTTAACTTAAGATTATTTTAATTTGACACTTATTAGATATATATTTGTTGTTTTATCACTATATATTAACTTGTACATTTTTATGTATGTGATCAATTTTTAAAATTCGATGTATTGTTATTTGTTTTTTCAAATAAAAACTCCATTTTTCTACAGTAAATTATTTAGTTGATAAAATAAATTTCTAGTTTGAAATCTCATCTATCTGATATATGTAAACGTCTTGTTTGATGTTAGATTAGCCAACCTAACTTAGTTAACACTTTCGCAAAATTTTTATTTATATTATGTGAAAATATATGACAATTTTATATTTGGCCATTTGGGGTTCCATAAAAATATGGTGAGAGGTGAGAGGGGTGCTTAAACGAATTAWGGTCGAGGATCACTGATCCAACGAAGTAAGGTCCGTGGTATTATGGTAATTTAGGTGTTTGGAAGGTATGGAGATCTGTGGTGATTTGAAAGTTAAAGTAATTTATTTATATTAATCTATTAACATCTATAATAAAATGCTCAAAGTATATATAAATAAATAATAGATAGATCCAAAATTAAAATATATTTACTTAATATTTTTATAAAACCATTTTTAATGACTTTTATCCTCAGTAACATTAGTAATAAGTTGTTCGAATTTTGAACTACGTGCATTACATTTTTTTTTAAATTACCCACCAAAAAAATTCCATTAGAAAAACAAAAATTTATATTGTCACAAGACATTCTTTTAATTTTAATATGAAAAAATTTTTAAGAATTTGTAAATTTGGTCTTTAATAGTAAATTTCAAAATTTCAAAAATTATTTGAATAAAAATTACCTATCAAATGAAAAAAAATATGATGAGCAATAGTTGATGAATCATTCTGTTTAATAAATAATAATTTAGATGTATTTATTTTATACACAGTTCACACAATCAATTAAATGTATACTATACTTAATCGGTAAACGGTAACAATGGTAACATATTATATAATCAACGTTAAAGTTAAATATTATATGTACATACCAGTATTAACACATAAGTCACAATTATGAAACATGTTGATATAATAGCAACGTATGTTAAAACAATAGGCCGCACAATTGAATAAAATAATTTGATTTTCCTGAAAAAAATCATGCTTTATATTTGCAATAAGTATATTCGATTAATCAAATACAATTTTTCGATGTCCAATAGCTAGGTTCTGTTGAAGTCAATATAGAAATATTAGAAATTATTGTATTAAGTGTTTCATATACCTATATAATATTAATCATATTAGATTAAAWACTACTATTTCAAATTATTGAAAACTATTTAAAAGTGTCAACTATGAAAAATTTTAAAGTATATTATATTGTTCGAATCAAATATAGTAAACGGAAATCGTTTAAAATATTCAAAATATTTAAAGATTTATATTGTATTTTTGTTTAATGAAAATATCTAGTATAAAATATAGAACAAATTGTCCAAGGTAATAAACAAGTGTATAAAAAAGATAAAATAATTCAATGGCATGATCAGGCCCTTCAATTTTTTTAAATATGAACGTGGAGTAGTGCAATCATATCTGCAGCACAAGAAAAACTTTTACAAGTTAACACAGATGTCGGGACATTCAGCACAAATCAGCAAAAAACCATTTGCAAAAAAAGTTTTTGATTTTATTTAAAAAATAAAAAGTGGGAGTGCCAGGAAATGATTTTTTAGAAACCATGGATGATAGAATTCAGATAAATAGATAACAAATTTCGAAATAAGTTAGATGAAACTTTTTATAAAGTAGGTACCTATGTTTAATTKTATTGTAATCATACGAAGATCACGTCACTTGCAGTTAAATAAGTAGTTATTGGAAGTGTCAAGTGGTACATATATYATTCGAAAGATATATTTGAAGTTAGCTACAAAAAGAAAGATAATTAAGCATACATAGTAATTACATACAGTTGATGGAGAAAAAAAGTTATGTATACTTATCGCATTTTTATATCGACTCGACACAATGCATGGAAATGTGTTATAAAATCATATTATGAATATTATGATCACATTTAATGTTATATTTTGAACGGAATTATTAGTTGTTCGAACAASATCTTGTCAAAGATTATTATAAATTTATAACTACACCTTTTATGCATGTAGTATATACTTAGTACTTAATATTTTTGAATTTGATAAGTGTTTTTTGTATTCTTAATATAATTATATAGAAGATTTACAGAAACAAGAATGTTTTATAGGTACCTAATCAACGAATATCTAAATAATTTCAGATTTCAGTCAATAAAATGAAAGATTTAGAAGAAACAAATGTTGAACACATTCTATTTTAACTTCTAAAAAATAATATTGGAATTGATTACAATGTTGTATTAAGAGGGCGCAACACCCATTTTGTCTTAGTCTTACAAATGCGTCTAACATACCAAATTTACGCTCAGCAGTTCACGTTGACTTCGTTAGCTTAAAAATTAGAATGAATAGACCTATTATGAAAATAGATGGTTAGAACATTATCTGTGTTTTGTTGGAAGTAATTTTACGACAATTTAGTTTTTAAGTGWCTTATGCACTAATAACATTTTAGAATAAAAATGCTCATAACTCACTTAAAAAAACTGAATTATCGTAAAATTACTTCCAACAAACACAGACAGCGTCCTCTTAATAATAATTATAGTTATAMAATCAAAATAATACTTTTATTGCATTGGAATTAGGAACATGAAGCTSACCTATATACGTACTTAATTGAAAATGGCAAATCTTAGAAAAAGTTGACGATATCATTATGTCAACCTGAATCATTCTAATAAATAATAATGCATAATGATAAAATATTCTAAATACAATTTTATTTTTTATGGCTTATGGGTATAATATCTATACATTTTTCTTCATCATGACTTTCATAATTTGAGCAATTTGGCTTATCTACTTTGTTAGATGTACGGCATTAGGTATACGATGTAAAATTTTAATTCAACATTTTTTTATCAATAATCGATAACTGTTGATGTTTATAACGTGCTACTAATACTTACAGATTAAGTTGCAGTTGATCGTCAAGAATTGACTTAAAATCTTCATAATATACTGCAAATAATTTCTAATTAGTAATTATTCATATAATAATAATGCTTACTACAAAATATAGCTTTTTATACGCAATAATTTATAATTACCTATTAATATAATAATTTTAATAATGGTCAGTGTTTAATTAATATTTAACGAATGGTAAACGTATATCTGTTATGTTTTTAACTGAATCAAGTTAATAGAAATCGGTCATTAATTCATTATGATTTTTAGTGAATATCCATTATCCACTGAGAGACATTTTATATAGTTGTCGCTTGACAAGAAATTAATAATAATTACAAATTGAGTTATAATTTATTACGCTACGTAAACTCAGACATACCAATATTGTGGAAATAAATTAATTTTTTCCAGAATTGTGAAAACACRCTGGGATAAATATAATTATTAATAATAATAATATATTATAAACGAGGACATTTTATATGCAGAAATATTGTATTATAATCGCGGGAACGAAGTGCCCAGTATTGTGCAATGAAGTTACGTGGGGTGTATTCTAAAATGTGATTAAAAAAAGGTAAAAACCAAAAATAAATAATCACTACAATGAAATAAAAAACAGTAAAAATTATATTGTCCTAGATTTGCAAMAAATAATTGCCGATGAAATTATAAAGAGTGCCTTACGTTAGAAAAAAACATCATATTTTTTGCAGTGGTACATATCCTATATAAATACTATGTTAAAATGTATTATAATTATACATTTCGTTGCATTCGTTTTTTCAATAAACGTTTTACTGTTTCAAAAATTATAAATCTTACCTATTTGGGAATTGTCTTCGTGTCCAATGTTTTTGAATGCCCGAGTGAGGACTTCCTGTTGGGCGATTATTGCCCAACAAAAAGACATTAAAAGTATGTCTGGTATGATCATAGCGTACATAGTAAATATTGCTACCATTACTTCCGTAAAATAAAATATGAAATAATAATGATTGTAAGTGTACGTAGATACAGGATAACGCAAGTTCATGATGTTCTGAAAGCGGACATTTTCATCTTCGGGCGTTGTGAACGCCATGACCACGAGAGGAAATAGAATCCATTGTGACATCACTGTCGACGAGAATAAAAAGAAGTAATTGGTGATTTTAATCGTTCTGTTTCGGTAGTCGTCAAGCACGTTTAAATTTTTACAACACTGTTTGCTCTTCAAAAAATCAAATCGTGAAACGCTGAACACAYCGTGAATGGCGTTTACGTTGTGCAAAAAAATACAAATCCTCCAATAGCATAAAAAAATATTAATCATTACAAATATTACTACAAAGAAATCAGTGTAACTCAGCTTATCGTCCATCTCGACGAAAAAGCCCAACGCGCTGTAAACGACAATGCAATTGACAATTGATCCGTAAAGAAACAGTAATAGCCGGTAAGCGTTACAGTTGAAAATCTTTGTACCGTCCGGATTAAATATGTGATAGAACCGCGACTTAATCATTAGTTCTACGTTGATGGCAAATTCTTCGACCCTAGACTTGTCCATTGAGCGTAGTTTAATAATTCGTATACGCAATCTGTAAACAATGTAATGATTAGAGCGTGCAATACATAATTGGTAATTAACTATACGAACAAAAAACGATTCTGATCGGAAACTGTGTGCCTGTATATTGTGTCTAAGGATATTCTATAAATTATAATAGCACTATAACAGCTGAACCCGAGCACTTCGTAGCCCGTTAAAAATCCTACCTCTTATATGTCTCAGACTGTTTGTTAAATTCGTTACCAGTGATTATGCTAGCATTGTATTTTTATACATATAGATAACAGTTATAATATGCTAAGTAATAATCTTACAACGATATTCGATTTAGTTTATCATTATGTAATTTTATTCGTTTTATCGAGAAAAGTCTGGCAATTCAAGGATTCAATTGAATGGTATTTATTGAGCTGCATTTGGATACACAATATTTTTTGTTCTTCCTTCTTGTGTGTATACACAAATACATTTTTCCGACGCCTAAATCAATAAATAAAATCAAAAAAAAATCTCCATCGTAAATTTCAAAATGTCTGTTTTAGCACCTCTCGTATCTGGTATTGGTAGTAATGATCCAGCACGATGATAGATTTGACCTTGCACTTTGAATGTTGGCATGCAATTTTCGAGCACAATATTCGTTGTCCCGAATAATGTCATTCGGAAATTGGAAACATGAATTGTATTTGCGGATGTTCGCTAAGAAATGTTTCGATATGCTCGTGTCGCCTGATACCAACGTTGATAAATATGGTTAGTGTGGTGTATGTAAATTCTGGCAATTTTACTTTTTCGCCAGCACAGCTCATACCTGGTGCCTTATTCTTAAATTTTAATGTTCTACAATATATGCATAATTTTCATCCATTTTTTCAATAACCAAACTTGTATGAATGCTGTAATTATAATTAACATCATAATGGAATGYACTATGATTCAAATCTCTATGATTTGTTTGAAAATGAGTGATTCGTGTTTATCGAGCGTGAAGTTGTCTGCTGGTTTCCAATCTTGCATCTCGTTGCTCAGTTGTTTCAGATGAACGGAATCGAGCTTGWTGATCTCTGGTGGTTCCTAATATTGCATATTATCTTAGCTCAATTGTTTCTGAAGCTCGTATTGCCATTTTCTTTCGTGCATAGAGGCGTACGACTACCGATCGATCTTTTTTTTGCGAGGTATAATTTTTTACGGACTATGAAGTGCAGTCAACAAAAATTCAGAGATATGTTATAATAATTATAAGAAATTTTCAAATATATAATTATAATAAGTAACCATCACTAATAACTGATTATTATATAGAGCGACTTATAGGATTTTTATTAAATTTTGGTTTTGAAACGAGTTATGACTTTATGAGTATTTTGTTTGTACCTACATTTAAAACACTCACAATTCGCTTTAAAATTGAGATATAATATAAAAAATTTATAAGATGCATTACTTAATAATTTCATTTTTAATTTCACAAGAGGTCAAATCACTTTATTTTTTTTAATAATTAATGGGGCAAACGTGATATTCTTAATACACAATTTACTATAATGTTACGCACTTGTGAGAGAGACAAAAAATGTTCGTCTTATTAAGTTATAAAAAAGTGTAGTATACAAAACATGACCTTAAAATATTGTAAAGTGATATGCATTAAAACTGTAAATTATTAAAATGTGCACAAACTATAAGTATGCTTTAAAATGATTCATATACTTAACTGCATATTAATGAAACGTATTATTCTGCATGTGCATGATAAGCATTTAATTTAGATTAATTAGATTCATAGATGAAGTGTTAGAAAGAGGAATATTAACACGCCTATAATATATATTATATTTTATATTATGATTCACTCCTGTCTTTGCTATTATTTTCTAATAAAAATGTAAAATACTTAAGTACCCATATGGGGTTATTTTTATAAACAATCTAGTTTGTAATACACAGAAAAATAATTTATAATCTGTTCGTGATAATCATTTATCAGTTATATTCTCTGTTTAATCATAATCATAAACATATTATTATTGCCCAATCACYGTATTATTATGCAGCAATGACAAGACAATATTCATACAAAATTTTTAGGTACAATTTATTTAGGAACATAATGTAGGTATAATGTAGGTATTCTTATTTATGCATGCACACGTTTGTTTCATAGACACCTAACATACAATAAATTCACTCTAAGTCTCTAATGTAGTAAAATTATTATATGCTATTTTTGGAACGATATCTTAGCATAACAATAACCTAATTAAGGTTTTGCGCGAATAAATTTGATTATCAACATATACAACTATAAAAGCYACACGAAACTCTCTCTGCTGTGTATCAAGTGTAGAACAGTGTCCYTTGTCATTTAGTAACGAGTAAATCACTACTCACTGTAATTTATAATATTATGTTAATTAATTTAATAATGAAATTGTATGCGAGAAACGATTTCTGGTATGGAAATGAGTRGGTAAGCTGTATACCTATAATTAAACTACTTTAGAACGCCAACATGGGTGAAATCTATAACATTATAAAGACTTTAGGTATAAAATTAGGATTTTTTTTTTTAAATTAAAAAACGCTTATAACTAAGTCTAAAACTGAAATACCAAAATAAGTCTAGATAGATATTAAGATAATATGTATTATACTCATTGTCATTATACTCACCTTTAAATTATATAATTATGAATCCACTAAAAATAACTAGAGGTAAATGAATTATTCAAATAAAATTGAACGTAAAATGTCTTAGGTATGTGTAACTAATAAGACGAAGAGACGACATATGCGGGTRCTATGTTTTTAGAAGCCATCTATGGATAGTTATATACTTGTTTTTTCGTATTTTCTTAATTCAGTATTGGTAGTTTGATCTAAAAACACATATTACATCGTATCATTGCTCCGCTTAGAATCTAAAGTTAATGGACAATAGCACTAAAAYCAAACATGAAGTGAACACTTTGTATTATACTWAAATAATTGTTAGCGAAAAAAAAATCTCCTGGTAAACTTATGAAAAATAAAATAAATATTTTATGTTCGTAATAGRTACCTTACAWAAGTTGTAAAGAATATATTTACGTTMAAACGCTTTATTAAACTTWAAAAAATTAACACACGCCACTCTCTGATACACAAGAATTGAATAATATCATCGAAATGTGTTGATGTGGTATAAAAACGGCAYGTATTATGAACAGTAATATTATAAAAATAGTTCAGTATAAATAAATAGCATAACATCCCATTTCATTAAGTCGAATAGGTAATAGTATAGCAACCTATTTAAATACGAACACATAATTTTAGCACATTTAAGGTGTTTATATTTTATATAAATTTCCCATGTTTTAGAATAACACAGTTATTAATTTTATACACAACATATAATTATATTACAACTGGGGTGGACCTAGGCGGGAGTTTGGAAGGTCAGCTGACCCATAGTTTTTTCATTAGTAAAATGTGGCCT